GAATATTTCAAAGCAATAGCTCTCTGTCTCTCTCTCTTTTTCTCCTTTTATGTATTTCTTTCTTTGATTCTTCATGTAGTAATAACATAATCTATTTAATGAATTCTCTGTGATTGAGCATTTGGGTCTTTTCAGTCTTTCATTTTTTGCTGCAGCAAATGATCTATGTATACCATTTTACATTTTTCCAGCAAAAAGAGGGATGGTTAGGTCAATGGAAAGGGCATAAATAAACGATATCTTATATTCTCTTCTTGGGAGTGTGGGCCTCCTCCCAGTGGTATTGTAACTCCACCAAGAAGCTATACTGCCAAACTTTACCCAGTTTATTAAGGCCAAAAGTGCATCTCTGTGATTTTTTAGAATGGCATTGTTTGAACATCATGAGTTTTAGCATTCTGTCATATTTATAATAATCACGTGTATCACTGTTTTAGTGGTATAAAATATACCAACCATCTGTTGGTATATGTTATCCATGTTTTATCTGTGAGATGCTATTGGAAATGCAATTGTCTTCTTAATTTTCTTTCCAATTGCTCTTCTTGTATACAGAAACAAACTGATTTATGCTAATGTTGGTCTCATTCCCTGAAACTTTACTGAATGTTTTTGGTTATCTCTAGCAATATTCTTTTGGGTTCTTTGAAATTTTCTATAAGATTAAGCCATCTGCATAAAGAATTTTATTTTTCCTCTTCTTTCTTTTATTATTATTATTTTTATACCACTGTGAGATACAGTTATGAAGATTTCCTGTCTGAATTTCAGTCATACAATTACTGAACACACAACCATCTACCAGTGCACATCTCCCCCATCAATGTCCTCAGTATTCCCCGCATCCCACCCCTCCCCCTGCCTTTATTGCAGAGAATCTCCCCCATACTCTCTTTTGTATTGCTTGTTATAAATAGCAAAGGTAGAATTTATGCTCCTGGAATTCTAAAATTTTAGATAATTCGGGTCTGGAGAGATCTCTGCAGCAAGCGGCTTGGTTCCAAGATTCTTTTGTGTGTCTCTGGATCACGGCTGTTAAGGAGCTTAAGTAGCAGCCAGAGGAAGTTAGTGGGAGTGACCTCCAGGGTTCCATGGGGATGGGGGGATGAGAGGAACTGGCCCATCTCTTATCCCTTGAGGCCTGGAGTTTCTCGTCACTGAATCCACATACCTGCACTTCTCATTGAGTTCTGGAAGTTGGTGGCCACCATGGTTTTTAGGAGGCTCGTGGGCGGGGGGGGGGGGGGGGCGTGACACCTGAGTGACACCTGACCCCATCCGAGGCACCCTGGTAAAGTCGGCCTGGCTTAAAGTCCAGAGGCATCTCTGCAGCGAGCTGCTCGGTTTGGAGATTCTTTTGTGTTTCTCTAGATCATGGTCCTAGTTTCCATCTTCTCCAGAGAAATAAACTATTGGCATATGCCCTGCTGGCCCTAACTGCAGCTTTTGATCTCTTTCGAGATTTATGGGTCTCAGAATTAAGGCTAATAGATGAGCTTGTATAGCTGAGTCAGAGGTGGTTTGTGGGTGTGACTCCCACATGCTTGACTTTTGGCCATTTAATTTCTTGGTAAACTTGTCCCTAAGTTATTGGGGTCCAGGCAAAGGCACAGCAGCAATTTTGGGGTATCGGGAAGCCTGAAGGTACCATTAGGCTGCTGATGCACTCACCCTGTCCTTTTCTTTCTGATAATCATTTTTTTCCCCTTAAACTGCTCTAGCTAGGAATTCTGTTGCTTGTGTAAATAGTAACTTTTTGGTTACTGATTTTTCTAAATTATTTTGTTAGTTCATTTCCTTTTCTGGTGTTGTTTTTGAAATCTGCTTCCCTTCAGCTTGTGTTTAGTGTTTCAACAGATATTTCCTAGAACACTAGAGGATGGTTTAAAAGAGAGAGGAAAGAGGAAGAGGGGAAGAAGAGAAATTGCAATGCCTCTTTTAATCATTTTAGATGCGTTCTTTGCAGTGGCCCCTCTTCACTGCTTATCTAGTCCACACAAAACTCTGCCTTAACCTAACTTACTGCTTGTGTTGCATCTGGAAACTTGCCAAAGGGAAAATCTCAGGGTTTCTCAAGTATTTTCTGGAGATCATACATCCTGCCTTGGTCATTTATACGTGACTGTTTAAATTCCCCAGTAAAGATGGTGATTTTTAATGCCCTAATTTATCAAGGAAACACTCCTTAAATTATTTTCTATTTTTGAACTATATTTCTGTAAATTTTAACTTATTTAAATAGCAAAATTTAAAATAAAATAATAAAGTTTTTTAGGCCAAGGTCCCCTGGCTACTCTGGCACTTACTTCCTTGGATAGTTATGGACAAGTTTCTTTCCTTAGGCTAAGTTGCTCTAATTTGAAAATGGGAAATTTTTATATTTTCTTCACAGATTTCTATGTCTAAAAAGGATCATTTCCTTGTACATACTGGAAATTAAATGAATTATTATTCTTTTTTTTTTCTTTTTGGATCACAACCGGTGATGCACAGGGGTTACTCCTGGCTCTGCACTCAGGAATTACTCCTGGTGGTGCTCAGGGGACCAGATGGGATACTGGGAATCGAACCTGGGTCGGTCGCATGCGAGGCAAACGCCTACCCGCTGTGCTATTGCTCCAGTCCTGATTATTTTTATTATTTACTCTGCATATGAGTTCAGCATAAAAGTAGCTTAGTACTGGATTTTGCATAAAAGATAAAAAAGACTGTCAATAAAATTTTAAAACACAAAATCTGAGCTTGTTCTTCAATCCTGTGTTCTGCCTTGAACATGATTTTGCTTGCTTGTCTTGATGTTTCTTTGCTGCCTATGTTCTTTCTTGAATACATTTCCCTCTCTTTCTCACTCTCACATATTCCTACATTTCAATAAAAAGTACTTTGCTTCACTAAAAAAAGGATAACTGAATGCTAATTTCCATATTGTAATAGATATTTCAAAGATCACTCTAAAAGCTTTGAATCTAAGCATTTGAAAAATTCTCAGCTCGTAGAAAGAAGACAAATAAGAACAGAGAGGTTTAGTGACACTTAGTATTCCTAGAAAATCTCTGTTACAATAGACTTTTCTGTTAGACTACATTAAATAAAGAAGTTTTTGCACCTCAAAGGAAACAATGAGCAGAATTCAAAGACAGCCCATAGACTGGGAGAGATTAATTGTCCACCACTCATCTGATAAAGGATTTATATCCAAGATATATAAATCACTTGTAGAGCTTTACAGAGTGGAAAAAAACCATCCAACCCCATCAAAAATGGGGAGAAGAGATGAACAGAAACTTTCCCAAATAATAAATTAATATGACCAAAAGGCATATAAAAATGCTCAATATAACTTACCATCAGAAAATGTATGTCAGAACAACAATGAGATATCACCTCACACCACAGAGACCAGCACTCATCACAAAGAACAGCAAATAGACAGAGTTAGCGTGGATGCGAGAAAAAGGGACCCTCATTTACTGCTGCAGGAAATATTGACTGGCCCAGCCTTTTTGGAAGACAAGATAGACATTCCTCAAAAATCAAAGAATTGAATTTCCATATGGCCCAACAATTCTGCTCCTGGGAATATACCCTAAGGTCACCCTCAAAACCCAATGCAGAGACATCTATACTCCTATGTTCATTGTAGCAGAATTCACAATAGCCAAAATAGAAACAACCAAAGTGCCTAAGAACAGATGACTGGATAGAGAAGCTATGATACATATCACAATAGAATACTACTTAGCTGTAAGAAAAGATGAAGTCATGAAATTTGCTGATACACGGATGGACCTAAAGAGTATTATACTTAGTGAAATGAGTCAGAGGGAAAGGGACAGACACAGAATGATCTCGCTCATATGCAGGATATAAAGAAACACAGTAGGGGAATACCCAATACCTGAAGGCAATGGAATCAGAGAGTAGGAGAACTGGTCCTTAGTAAGAAGCTTGGCCCTGGGGTGGAGGGTGGGGGGTGGGCTAGGTGAGAGAAGAGACCACTATGACAATGACAGAGGGAAGTGATCACTCTGTATCAGGATTAGTTGCTGAAAAGAGGTAGAGTAACATGTATGATATTAAATGTCACTGTCATCCCGTTGTTCATTGATTTACTCTATTGGGCACCAGTAACGTCTCCATTCGTCCCAGCCCTGGGATTTTAGCAGCCTCTCTTACTTGTCTTTCCCAACACTGCCAATCTGGAAGCTCTTTTAGGGTCAGGAGAATGAAACAGGTTATTGTTACTGTTTTTTGGCATATCGAATATGCCAGGGGTAGCTTGCCAGGCTTTGCTATGCGGGCGGGATACTCTCGGTAGCTTGCTGAGCTCTCCAAGAGAGATGTATATATACATATATATATGTATTACTGTCACTGTCACTGTCCTCCCGTTGTTCATTGATTTTCTCGAGCGGGCCCAGTAACATCTCCATCATGAGTCTTGTTGTTACTGTGTTGGGCATATCGAATTTGTCATGGGTAGCTTGTCAGGCTTTGCTGTGTGGGCGAGATACTCTCGGTAGCTTGCCAGGCTCTCCAAGAGGGGCGGAGGAATTGAACTCAGGTCAGCCATGTTGGCTGCTTGCAAGGCAAACACCCTACCCACTATGCTATCGCTCCAGCCCATATATATATATATATATATATATATATATATATATATAATGTTAACAGTAGAGTAAATCACAGTGTCTAAAAGGGGAGGGGGGAAGGGAAAAAGTAAAAAGAAATAGAGCTTGTGAAGCCAGAGGACAAGAAGGAAAACTGGGGACATTGATAGAGGAAAGTGGATACCAGTGAAGAGATTGGTGTTGGAACATTGTACATCTGAAACTCAATCACAAGTAACTTTGTAACTCTGTAATTCACAGAGATTCAATTAAAAAGTTAAAAATAAACTAATTATTTCAAAAACCTTTGATGAAAAGAAAATTACTGGCTAGAAAAACTAAACAATAATAATACAACTAGAAATTGTTAAAAAAAAAACTTTAGCATACCTTAAGATTAAGTGCATTTCTTCCAAATAATTGACAATTAAGTATGGCCAAGTTGACCATAGATAGTACTGTTTCATATTGTGTTGCTGCAATAGTCTTAAACATCTTAAAACCTTCACCATGTACAGCATAATTTGTTGAATCATCTAGTTTACCTTTAATTTTATGTAAACCTAAATAAGCAAGACAAAACATGAAATTTAAATGTGTTGTTGCCTGGAGTGAAAGTTAATCATCATTACCATAGACATAATAGTTATTCACATACTTTGGAAGAGATTTCCCCATAATGCTAATCATCTAGTTTAACTTGGTTCTGTTTTACAAACTGGGTTTCATTGTTGTTGAAGATTACAAAACAATTTACATTCAAAAAGGAAACCATATGGTCATTGATTTCTATGGATAATTTAATTTCCACCAATCTCAGTAGGTAAAATTTGCTTTTATTTGACTAAGAATTATGTATGCAAACTTTTGCTTTATAAAACTAAGTCAAGAACATCATATATCTTAGATTATCATTTTACTTTTCCCTCTAGATGTATGATTCAAATGTTGTATCTAATTAGCTCTTCCCTCAGTTTAAAGAACCCATAGAAAAAAATGGGGGGAAAAAAAACAAACGGCTCAGAAATTAGCCAGATATTAGCTAAATTTACTTTATAATGACTCATAACATTAACTGTCTATCAGAAATGGTCTACCCAAAAATGCCAAAGAGTTAGTTAGTATAGTGGGTAGGTTGCTTTCTTTGTATCAGACAACTGGGTTAAATCCCTGGCACCTCATATGGTCCCTGTCACCACCAAGAGTAATCCCTGAAGACAGAGCCAGGAGTAAACCCTGAGCACCATCAGATATGACCAAAACAACAACAAAAAAAGTTAGTTATATACCCACATGTGGCAGGAAATTATTTTGAAATTTTATAAAACACATTTTATATTTCTGGTTACATTTTAATATCAGTAATATTTTATAGGCGCCACACCAAGCAATGTTAAGGGGCCCTGGAACTATGCCTGAAGTCATTTCCGGCTGTGCTCAGGTGTAACTGGGACCACATCTAGCATAAGCCAAAGGTATAAAAGGCATCTCCAGTGTACTTAGGGACCACCAGGGCTATACCTGACATATGCATCTGGCCATGTGGTTCCAGGGATTGAAACAATTGTCTTGCACATGCATTCTGTAACTTGAGATCTTTCTCCAGCCCTTAGTAATTTCTGTACTATTTCTTAAATGACAGAAAAGAATGCATCCCAGAACAAAAAATTCCACAACATTCCATCTTTTATTTTTCAAATAGGTCCAGTGTGCCTTTTTCAGAATAAAGCAAAACATTTGACTAGGAATATCACCCTGAGATTGAGTGCATGCCTGGCATGTGTAGAGCACTGGGTTTAACCCTTGGCATTCAAAACAAAGCAAGAACAGAGTAAGGAAGAAGTAGTATGTATGATGCAATACATAAAATATTTCTGAAAAACAATGTGAGGTCTAGGGTTATTTTATTTTCCTTAAAACTCATCTCGTTTCTGCTCATTAAGATGACCAAAGCACTTAGAATGGGAATGGCACATGGAAAGTCTTTAATTCTAATCATTGCATATGCATCTGTCCCACCCCACTGAAAAATACTCAGCTTTCATGATTGTGATGTCACTACAAAATGTGATTCGTAATCAATGCTTCAAAAAAGCATAATTGCTGAGGAGAGCAGAAGAGATAGCTCATAGGGTGAATGCACATTTTGCATACAGAAGGTCTGAATTCAATGCCAGACTCGCATAGTCCTCCAGCACTATCAGGAGTGATCCTCTTTCCTCAAGTGGAAGTAACCCCTGAGCACTGGTGGGTGCGATCCCAAAACAAAAGCAAAACAGAAAATGACTTGAAGACGGAAAATTAGCTGTGATTTTCAGTTAAACAAACATAAAATGCACAACCTAAGTTCTTTCTAGAGAAATAAAATATTATACAGTTAGGAGATTGATGTAAACCATGCATTTACCTCTAGGATGGATGATCTTGGATATTTTTGAGACATAAACCTTGAATGATTTGGGGACACGTTCTATGCTTTTCTCTTTCTTTACAAGAGTTTCTAGAAAAAAAAGAGGAAAACTTCTGGATGCTTGTGGAAATTTGCTTTGAGGTATTTATAATTTGATTAGACCTAATTTTTCATCTTTTTATTAGCCATGATAATAAGATCAGATCTTACAGTAAAGTGTCTGATTTGAGCTTGGAAGACCTAACAAGTTCGAGCTTTCATATCTGCGTTTTAGCCTATAAGATGAATGTATGCATGGTCAAGAATTGGTCACGCCCCCCCATCCTGAAAACCCAAATGGGTTTTGTTTGTGTGTTTTCTTTCCCCTTTGCTCGACATGGCCCCATTTACTATAAAACACATTTAAATTGCGCTTACCTAAGTACATCTGCCTTTGAGGTCTTCTTGGTGATTTTGGTTTGGGTAGGGAAATAGAATCTGCAAAATTATTAATATTTAAGAAGACCGCCGGCCTTCGTTGTGTATACCGAGCCCATGGTGTTATTTCTCCCACTGTGGTTATCAGCTGGGGTTTAATACCAATGGCCATAATCTTTGGCAAGTACCTGTATGAGTAAGAGTGACGGCCAGAGTCAGGGACATGGGAAATGTTAAATTCGGGACTAAAATTTGTAGGCTTGAGGACATATACAGAAATCTTCTCACTGTCTTTATAAGTTTTAACTGACAAATCACGTTTAAATGTTGGTGATGCTCGTCTTCCTGATGTTTTTTTGTAGCTATGTAATTGTAAACTTTGAGTTGAATCTTCAGGAATATCTTGAAAAAATAACATGGGACTAAGAGGCATCTCTGGAAGACTCCAGTGGACACTCTTAGTGCTCTTTGAGGGTGCTGAAGTTTCAGTCATTCTTTCTGACCCAGGACGTTTAAATACAATATTTTGGACCTTAACATAGCGCTGTGATTTATCTCTACTGTCCCTGTAGGGTAACAATGTGCCAGTTTCAAAAACTCTAGCTTGTTTTTCGAAATAAGCAGTTGTATCTTGAATAAAGTCTTTTGGCAATGCCACAGTCTTGGCTAAATAAAGAGGAAAAAGCACAGTTAGATTAGTTTTATCAAGATATCAGGGACAAAACTATAAATACCTATAAAAGTATTAATAACTTACTTGATCTACTCACTTGTTTCTCATCTTTAATTTTTTTTTGTGGGACCAGACAGATAGTACAGGGGTTCATGTGTTTGCCTTGCATGTAGCCTCCAATTCAATTCCTGGCATCACCTATGATTTCTCAAGCATCATGATCCCTGATCATGGAACAGGAGTAATCCCAAACATGGCTGGGTGTAACCCCAAACACTCCCCACCCTCAGATAAATAAAAATGGTTTTGTGTACACTTCCTCAGCTATCAGGACTTTTATTATATGATTGCAATAACAGTTAAATAAGCAATAGCACAGTGGGTAGGGTGTTTGCCTTGCACGTGGCCAACCGTGGTTAAATTCCCAGCATCCCATATAGTCCCCCAAGCACCTCCAGGAGGAATTTCTGAGTGTACAGCCAGGAGTAACCACTAAGTATCGCTCGGTGTGACCCAAAAAGCTTGATCACTTGATCACTTGACATCCCATTACTCATCGATCTGCTCGAGTGGGCGCCAGTAACGTCTCCATTTGTCCCTGTCATGTGCTAATGTAGCCCGATGGCATCTGCTCGTTCTAAGAACATGAAGAGCCTCAAACCGATCATTCAGGGTTCTTCACAAAGAAGTCTAACCATCTCATAGGTGGGCGGCCATGTTATCTTTTGACATCCTGTGGAATCCAGTCGGTAATGGCTCTAGTCCAGCGGTCATCTCCAAATCTCATTACGTGTCCAGTCTATCTAATTTTTGACGCCTTGGCAAACGAGATAGTGTCCCCGATTCTTGACCATCGACGGAGGTTGGAACTCTGGATTCTTTCTCTCATTTTAGTGAAGTGTGATACTCCAAGCATAGGTCTTTCGATTCCTCTTTGGGAGACCCGAATAGCATTTTCATCCTGTTTTTGTAGGGCCCAGGTCTCTGAGGCTTATGTTAATGCAGGAAGAACAGTGGAATTGAAGAGATGTGACTGGAGCCAGAGGTTCTTCGTCCTCTTAGCTTTCTCTTCGATGTTCTTGAAGGCGTTCCAAGCCGCTCTCTTCTTCCTGTGCAATTCAGGTGCAGGTCATTCGTCATGTTGACTTCTTGACATAACTGTTGCGTTTGAAATGTTTGTTGCATTGAGAGTGAATGGAATGTCAGGAACGAGGCCATTTCTCATAAACATTGTCTTTGTGAGATTCAGTTGTAGTTCGACTTTTCCACACTCACATCGAAATCAGCCAGCATTTGTGCCGCTTGGCTGTTTGATGTTATAAAAACGATGTCATCAGCGAAGCGGAGGTGGTGTAGTTGCCGACCATCTATCTTCACTTCCATTCCTTCCCATTTCAGTCATCGCATGACGTTCTTGAGGGTGGCACTGAAGAGTTTTGGTGAAATGGTATCACCCTGCTGAACCCCTCTCTTAACATCAATGATCACCTCCCTGTAGAATGGTGAGATCCTGGTAGTGAATCCGCAATACAGCTCACAGAAAATCCTGATGTATTGACTTTGAACACCCTGTTTGGCTAAGGCTTCGATGACTGCTTCAGTTTCAACAGAACCAAAGGCCTTCTTTAAATCAATGAACGTTAGACAGAGCAGCATCTTGAACTCCCGAGAAACCTCAATGAGCTTGGTTATCGTGTGGATATGGTCGATGGTGCTGAATCCTTTTTGGAACCCGGCCTGCTCGCATGGTTGTCCTTCATCTAGTGTTCTGCAAATCCTATTCAGGATGACTCAAGTGAATAGCCTGTAGACGACAGACAACAGGCAGATCAGGTGATAGTTGCCAATGTTGTGGATATCTCCCTTCTTGTACAGTAGTACAGTCCTGCTGGTTTTCCATTGGGACAGAACCTTGCATCAGACAGCTAGTGTGTGAAGAGCCGAGCCAGTGTATTGATGAGTACTGAGGGCAGGTTCTTCAGGTGTTCGGTCTGACCTTGTCTGGGCCGGATACTGTTCACTTCTTTAAAGACAAAATGGTGTGTTGGATTTTGGAAGGGAGAACATTGGGAATGACATAACCATCCTGCAGAATTTGGTATGTGGGCAGGTGGACGTGGCTATCAGAGAGATCCGAGTAGAAGTCATGGATAATCTTCTCCATTGCCCTTCTGGAAGATGTGATAGATCGATCCATCAGGACATTGGAGGACAGTAATCTTGGTCTTGTAGTTGGCAAAGAACAGGCAGGCATTGCGAATGCTTTTTCCAGCTTCCGCCGCATCTGCCAGCACTGCTGCTCTTCTGTCTTTGAGGTCTTCCTTGATTGCATCTCTGCACTGCTTTGCGTGCTTGGATGTTCGCTTGCAGTCGCCTGAGGCTTGTGCCAAGCCACGTTGGCAAATGAGCTTGAGAGTTTTCGAAGACAGGCATCTTTTTGTGACTGTCTCTCTCTCAGTGTTCTTCACACAATCATGGTGGTGCTGAACCCATCAATTGTATTCCTCATCAATGTTGTCAATGATGGCATCTTCCCACGTTGCTGCAATAGTGCCAAAGAGCTCCCAGTTGGTGGACGTTCTGGGAGTTCTCTTCTTAAACTTTGCAGCCCTTTCTCCCCGCTCTGTGAAGTAGAATTTTGCACGAAGGAGACAGTGGTCCGATCCCGTTTGGAATTTTGGGACAACAGCGACATGGGTCAGGCAAAACCGTTGATTGAATATGATGTGGTCAATTTCATTGTAGAACCATCCACTGGGAGACTCTCATGTCTACATTTAGATTTTGCCTTCTGAAATTGTGAGTTGTGAGTGAGTTGTTAGTTCTGGAATTGTGAGTTACCCAAAAAGCTACAATAAATAAATAAATAAATAAATAAATAAGCAAGTGGAGAAATTAAAAGTAATTGAGTTTTTAAAAGGTGAGGAACTGGGGAGACAAAGCAACTCTGAGCGCCTCTGCCTCTCACTTTCCGTCGCCCAAGCTAAGCTGGTCTCTTCTCCCCACCCAGGTCAGTTTTCCCGCCACTTCTCGAACCCAGGACTTGGATTTCACCCTGCAAGCCCCCAGGCGTCCCCCGGACTTGGGGAGACAAAGCAACTCCGAGTATCTGTGCCTCTCCCTTTCCATCACCCAAGCTGAGCTGGTCTCTTCTCCCCACCCAGTCTTTACTCCCCTGACACATACCAGGTACCCGTGGGGGTGTGGCCACTTTAGAAGTGGGCATGGCTTTTAAGAAGTGGGCGTGGCCTAATCTTCTTCGGGAGGCCTCTCACGCGGCCACAAGTAGTTTACTCATATCAAGAAATCTAAGCCCTACACCTACACACCAACATGAAGAAACAACACAAATCCCTGCCACAGGGAGAGGACGAGGAAACAAGTCCAGAAGCCTCAGTAGGTGCCAGCCACCTAAGGGACCTCTCTGACAAAAAATTCAGATATGAAGTCATCAAGATGTTCAATCTACTCAATGAAACAGTCAGACAGATATTCAGTAAACTGAAAGAGGACATGAAACAATCGATTGCACAAGCGACAAAATACAGGAAGAAATGAGAACGGAAATTGGAAAGCTTCGCACAGAAATGGCACGGATCAGAGATTCCATAGATGAAATAAAAAACTCAGTCTGTGCCCTCAAAAATAGAATGACCACAGCTGAGGAAAGAATCAGTGAGCTGGAAGATCAGCTGCACCAAGCCAACACACAACAACAAACAGTGGCAAAGGACCTCAAAATAGCTCTACAGAGAATCAGAGTCCTAGGAGACGATTCCAAAAGAAACAACATTAGAATCATTAGACTACCAGAAGCTCAGGGAAACAATCCCAATGAAAAAGCCATGGTTAAACAAATCATCGCCGAAAAGTTCCCAGAGCTCCACAGTACAGCCATTCAGACTCAAGAGGCCTGAAGGGTGCCAGCTAAAAGAGACCCAAACAAAAACACTCCAAGACATATCATAGTTAGAATGATAGATGCTGCCAATAGAGTCACAATACTGCAAGCAGCAAGAGCAAAGAAGGAAATCACATACAAAGGAGCACCCCTTAAATTCACAGCAGACCTATCAGAGGAAACCCTCCAAGCCCGAAGGAAGTGGCGAGATATAGTCAAAAAACTCACTGAAATGAATGCTTCACCAAGAATACTCTATCCGGCTAAACTCTCACTCAAAATCAAAGGAACGATACACTATTTTCTAGACAAACAGCAGCTCAGAAACTTCATAGACTCAAAACCAAACCTAAAACAAGGCCTAAAGGGGCTACTATAAGACAAGACAAACCCTACAACCACAACACACCCTTACAGAAAGATGACACAAAACCCCATCACAATAATCTCTCTCAATGTCAATGGTCTAAATTCACCATTTAAGAGACACAGAGTGGCAAAATGGATACAGAGACAGAGCCCAACATTCTGCTGCCTACAAGAAACTCATCTCAACAGTCAGAGCAAACACAGACTCAAAGTCAAAGGATGGAAAACAATCCTGCAAGCAAACAGCTCCTTCAAAAAAGCTGGGTGATGATCAAGTACCCATCCCTCCACCAGTGCTCATCCTCCATCACCACGGGTCCCAGCATCCCCCCCACCTCCCATCCCCCCCGTCCCACCCTGCCTCTGTGGCAAGGCATTCCCCCTTGTTCTCTCTTCTTTTGGGTACTGTGTTTTGCAAGAGAGGCATTGAGTGGCAATCATGTTTGGTCTATAGACTACTTTTAGCATGCTTCTCCCACCCTGGGAGGGTCCTCACAACACCCTTTATTTGGTGCTCTCTTCTCTATCTGAACTTCCTTTTCACCTAGCACGTGTGGCTGGCCTTCAAGTCATGGAGCAAAATTCCTGGTACTAATCTCAGCCATTCCTGGGATTGAACTCCCATTTGATCCAGCAATATCACTCCTGGGAATATATCCCAGAGAGGCAAAAAAGTATAGTTGAAGTGACATCTGCAATTGTCTGTTTATTGCAGCACTCTTT